GTCCTCTTCACCAAAACGTCTAAGAAAGGCAATTCGTTGTGGATTTCCTTCTTTATTGTGAAAGTGATGGAAGGTCTTATGTTGTTGGTGTGCTTCAGGAAAGTGTCTAGTTCTGCATTCCCATGGTTCCATTATGAAGGTGTCGTCTACGTATCTCAACCAGACTCGGGGCTTCTTGTGGGCTTCTTCAATGACCAAAATTTCAAACCATTCCACATATAAATTGGCTATAACAGGTGAAAGTGGCGATCCCTTTGGTAGTCCCTCATCTTGTGTAAAGAATTCGTCCTTCAGTTCTACAGTATGCCTTGAATTCTTCACAAAAGACGATATTTTTCAGTAATTTTTTTTAGTTATTTCAAGAATTTCAAATTATTTTATATAATATTAGACAATGGAAGTCCGAACTGATGAAATTCATCATGAAACATTGTCAATCACCTTCAAACAGAAATCTCATGTTCTTCATCATATTTTGGAGAGGAAGTTTCACGATTGTAGTGTAATGATCTGTTATGGCGTTGTTTAGCACAATAGGTAAAATATTATTCGATTTTCCTCAATAAAAATGTGATCAACGCATGTGTTGATTTGTTCTCTAGTTACAGTATTTATTACGGAGTGGTAATCAAACTTGAAAAAGTTATTTAGATATTCAGTAATTATATCATCTTCAGCTGGGATGTTGAAGTTGATATCTCCTAAAAATACATGAAATACGGACAGTATAGACCCGTTAGATGTATGGATTTTTTGGTCTACTTTTAGTGTGATTTGAATCTATTTGCATTCATATATCTCTATGATATCATGATTACAGCATATATTTTCTCTTACATAGATAACAACACCATCGCATTCATTAATGTTACCGTCGTTATACAACATGGACGTAGACTCTACTCTTAAAATTATAAAGAAATACCGTTTTGTGATTGTCATTTTGTACCTTCGATATGATAGAACTAAAATAGATCAAAATACTCAATTCAAAACATTGTTCCTTTTTCCTCTTTTTTAATTATCAATTTTCAATAGTTTTTTAAAAGAACCGACTTTTTCGAGTAATTATATTTATTTCGAATACAATGAAGTTTTCCTGTAATTGATATCGGAAATATCTATAATATAATACTTCTTATGTTCTGGTGAAGAATGTTGTAGTTGATTTTTTTGTTTTCTTCAGAAGTCAAGTTGTTGTAGTCAATTATATTATCAACATTTCCGGTTACAATGGGTTCATATTCATAGTCTCTAATATATGGCTTCATTTTTTATTGGAAAAGTATAGATTTTGTTGGTAATAGAATGGTAATATGATGGTAATTATTTAGGATAAACAGTTGAAGATGATAGTAAGAGCATTAAATCTATCAAGAGGAGTATTTTCGCAAGTTCGGTTTTTCTTTTACTGAGTTCAAAGATGTGTGAATTATTCACACAACGCTACACAACATAATGTATGAAAGAGCATCGATATAACATTTCACTCACATACAAATCCTTTATTCTCAAAGTTTTGGATTCAACTCTTCGTCAGTACCTACTCAACATTTAAAGATAAAACTACACTATAATGCGATAAACTCACTTCCCAGAAGTAAATATCCACAACCCAAAAATGGAAAGGACAATGGACCTTCTACCTTCCAGGAATAGATATACAAGTACTTCCTATTCCACAAGAACTTGATATACCACACTGCAAAAGCCGTAATAAGGCTCACTACCAAGTATGTCCGCACATCATATCTTGAAAAATCCTCACTGGAAATCATTTCGTATAACTGAAAAAAAAAAATATTTACAGATGTTACAGAATTTTTGAGGTCATTCATAGTCATTGATTGGGAAAATAAATAAAAGGAGGATAAAGTGTTTAGCAAAATTTGAGGATGAACACTGACATAAAAGCTTGACAAGTTGACTTGGGTGTCACACCAATAGGTGGTTCCACTTATGTCTCGCTTGCGTTCAGCCCAATAGGCTGGAGCAGCAAAGCTCTTAGAACCCACAAGCGCTTTTCGAAGGTCATCCGGGGTTATCGGGTTGCGCAGTTCATTGAGCTCAGGCTGTCGGAGCTCTCCATTGGAAGCTTCGAACTGCGCTAGGGCTGGACTGTCTGAGTTGAGTATCTGCGGGTGTTCATAGATATCCTTCCAGAAGGATTCCACCTGATCAGGGGTCGGCGGATTATCCATAATATGTGAAGGCTCTTGAAATAAGCGAGAAGGTTTCACGCGGAACCTAAGGTTTTCCGCGATTCTTCTCGCTCGCCTCACTAGTGACTTCTTAGCAGCCACTAGCATTCGTGTCCTATCAAGGCAGTGCTGTTTGGTGGAATATAATTATTATAGAAATATTGTTATTCAGTCGAGACTCAATTTATCACTTATAATGTGATCTATTGGATCATTACATTCTGAAAGTAGTATGATATTTGTCGTTTTGCTGATAGGCAATATATTATCCAATGCTTACTTTTGAGTTTTGCAATAACTGATATTCCAAGTGTTGAACATCACTATAACATAGTCATTTTGACCGTAACTTACGGTGTTATCAAAAATATCCCTTGTCAAAGTCGATAATTCAGTCTCTGGTTTGATGATTCCGAATACATTATAATAATAATAATGACGTTCATTTGTAATGAAGAAAATAGATGCAGAAATATCAAATTGAATGAAGATTGTTCATAAATTTCTCCAATACTATGGAAAACCCTGTTGCGCATTGATCACCTAGGATCACAATTTCGGACATTAATTTCTCTGGTTTTGTTACTGACTTTCTCTCGCCTATTTTTGAACATCTACTGTTTTGCATAACTTCCGTTTCATGTTTTCTCATACCTTCCTTCTGCTACAATTTTTTGATATCACAATCAAGATTTGTTTAATGACCTCTCACGTATTTTTTCATTTCAGTTATGTTGGCTTGTGGTTTTTTTGGAGCATTTTCTCCTCTTTTCATTTTCATTTGTTTTAGAACCATTAAATATTTCCCAGC